CATACCCATGTCCCTAGGGTTCTTCCTCTTGTGCTGAAACTGTGGTGGCGTTCCACCACCCCATGATGAAACCCCATCCCAGAGAGTTCTGTGGGCAGCCACTCCATAGCCCTCTAAATTTGTCTTCCAGTGAAGGGCCAAAATGGGATGCACATTTTATTTCCCTCATTGTGGAAAACTTGAAATTTTGAGAAGAGTAAAATAATAGTACACTGAAAGTCTGATTACTCTGCATCAAATGTTAAGATTTTCCATATACTTTTAAAAAATGGAATTGTTTGAAAGTTGTAGACACAATGACAATTCATCCCTAAATGCTTCAGCATGTGCCTCTGAAGAACGCTGTCATCACATCTGGCGTCAACAGCAGCAGAAACGTCCCCAAAAGCTCTGTGATTTTTCTATGAAAAAGGTACAGACAGTAGAAAATGAAAATCTGGATGTTTCCCCCCAAAGATGTTTTTTCCTCCCCTGGGAGTGGAGGAAGAGAAATTTAGAGTCAGATAATGGGCATGTTTCGATGCAAAATGTGAACTATAAGATGGCCTTGTATGGTTTAAGTGAACCCAGGCAGAAGAATGCTTGGTCTATCATGCTTCTCTCTGCAAGATAAAGCAGCAGTAAGAGGCAATAGGGACAAGTAATACTCAGAGTAATTATTAGCAAAATAAATCAATGCTGAGTGCTCACATGTGAGGCAGCCCGCCGAGAACCATCATTTCAATGTTCACGGGGTAAGTACTATTATTAATGCCATTTTCCAGACGAAGAAAAGCACAGAAAGGAATTGCTCGCCCAAGGTCTGAGGTGGATAGGTGGCAGGGCCAGGGTTCCCACCAGGGCATGTGCCCCTGATGGCTGGCTCTTAGCCATGCCCTGCCCAACCTCCTGGTTGGAGAAAACAAGCTGAGCAGAGACGAGTCAGCTGGCAGGCTTGACTGCGCTTCTGAGATGTGTGTGTGTGGGCTGGGCCTGGGCCATGTCTAAAAAGACTGGTAGATGGTCCCCCACATGGCACACAACTTTTCCTGAACGTCCAGCGTGGCTCAGCACAAAATTTACAGCTTATTCTCAATGCCTGCTTTCCTTCTGAGTGGAGTTTTGGAATCAGAGGGTGCCTTCATGTTCAGCTCACAGTAACAACCTTGGACACCGAGTCTCTGATGGGAATGCTGTGTAGACAGAGTTGTATACCTGTTGCTCCAACTCATTACTAGGGTAACTGGTGCGTTCCAGGGGACTGTACTAGGCGAGGACTCCTGGGAGCTGGCACTTGGCTTTCCCTGTCTTTGCCTGCACACTTTTCTTTCTGCTGACACTGCTATATCTTTGGGCACTAATAAGCTGTAGCAGTGAGTACCGCAGGCTGGTCCTCCTAGTGAATGCTGGAACCTGGGAGGTGGTCCTGGGGACCTGACACAGAGGCCAGTAAGAGGTAACCGCCCTCCCCACCTCCCTTGGCTTTATCAGCCTCACCGAGAGGGACCATGAACTGTGTGTTCGGCTGAGGTGGAGCACATGGTCAGTAGCTGGAGCGCGGCCTCCCAGCCCCTCAGTGTGGAATCTTGAGCCACACTCCATTCCTGTGGTGCTCTCACTGGAAAGGAGGGGTGGGGTCCCCTGCAGTTGAGCCACGGTCCAGGAGGGGTCCCTGTTTCGCACCGAGTACCATGCAGGTCACACAACACTAGGGATACCTGACTTGCCTGCCTGGGGTTGGGGTGGGAGAATGTGGGCACAGGGGTCCTTTGGGTGTGGCAGACCAGAGTCATGGCCTCCAAAAGACGTCCACATCCTAGTCCCCAGAACTGATGGATATGGCACCTTACATGGCAAAAGGGACTCTGCAGACGTGACTAAATTAAGACTCATAGGGTGGGAGGATTATCCCTGAGAGAGACTGGAAAAAACACAAATGGTTTTCCTCCCTCTCACACCACAGCAATCAACAGACTTCTGGGCCCCAACGTGTGAGGAATTTCCCCACACACCAGGTAAGCAGTCACCTCTGCAGCAGACACCAGCTGGGTGGATGCTATCTGCCTGGAGACTGGGCTAGCTCCTACAGGACGAGGGCTCAGGACCAAAGGCTGTCCCCTCTCCCCCAGACATCCCAAGTCCAGACCGCTGGAACTCCTTACCAGCAGGCTTCAAGGTGGGGCTCCCATGACTCTCTTTCTGGGTTCACAGAACTCAGGGACATACTTATGCTTACTGGTTTATTAAAAAATACATTACAGAGGATACAGATGAAGAGATGCATAGGGCGGAGCATGGGGAAAGGGTGTGCCAACCTCCAGAAACTCCACATGTTCAGTGACCCAGAGCTCTCTGGAAACCCTATCCTCTTGGGTTTTACGGAAGCTTCATTATGTAGGCATGACTGATTACACCATTGGCCACTGGTTGTAACTCAATCTTCAGCCCCTCTACCCTCCCTGGAGGTTGACGGATGGTACCGAAAGTCCCCCCTTCTAACCCTGCCTTGGTCTTTCTGGTAACCAGCCCCATCCAGGCCTACTGAGGGGCTGCCAGCCACCCGTCATCTCATGAGCACCCAAAGAGACACACTGCTCTGAAGATTCTCAAGATTTTAGGAGTTGTGTGCCAGGAAAGGGGGTTGAAGCCTAAACGATATCAAAATCCTGGATTATCCAGGCGGGCCTGATATAATTACAAGGATCCTCATATGAGAAACTAGGAAGGTCAGAATCAGAGGTGTGGAGCCTAGAAGACTCTGTGTCATGCTACTGGCTCTGCAGGAAGGGAAGGGAGGCACCCGCAGCCACTTCACACTCCTGCCTTTCAGAACTGAAGAGAATAATGGGCGTAGCCCGAAGCCATTAAGTCTGTGGCAGTTTGTCAGCAGCCATAGGACAGGAACACAGTGATCCTCAAGTCATTTCCTTCCAGTCTCAATAAATGGGCTCCATTTGCTTCGTCAGTGACCTGGTGCTGAAGAAATGTATAATTTGGGGGAATCTTGGAGATGAGCTAGGGTGAGACGAAATGGTCAGGAGGTGATCACTGAAGCTGTGAGGTCCCTTCAAGAGGCAGAGAGGAGACCCAGGACACCAGCTGTGCCTCACACACATACACACTCATGGTCTAGAGACCGAGGAAGTGCAGAGGTTAGCCAGGCTTAGAGGAAAGGGCCAGGTAGCCTTGAGTGATGGTAAACGCAGCCCTCTGGAGTCAGACCACCTGGGGGTAACAGTGTTCTTACTAGCTGTGCTACCTTGGGCAAGTCACTGAACCTCTCTGTGCTGCAGTTTCCTTACCTCTCAAATGGTCACAATGCAGAACCTACTTCTGCAGCTGGAAGAATGACGAGCCAAATTCTGGCCCCATGACTCCCCTCCCCTATGCTGGTACCTCCCTGCTAGGCCCCAGGGGTGGGGGTGGGGGGGTAGCCACAGCTCCGCCTCAGTTCCTCACTACCTACACTCTGCGCAAAACTCACCTTCTCAGCCAGCCTCACCCCAACCACTCCATTCACGAGGCAACCTGCCCCAGTTCTACCTCCCCTCACGCTGGTCTCCACTTACCTGGCTAGATATTTTCTTTACCTCAGCTCTTACCACAATCTAACATGCTAACCGAATTTGCCTATGCACTGTCTTCTGCATATCCCAAGGACAGGACTCTCTGGACCGCCATGCTTTGGGACTGCCTACAGAATGTGGAAGGGGCTTGTCAACTGTCTGCTAACTGAATGGTCCCACAGTAAACTTTAACTCTTCTTACCACCACTTCTTCAAGGAGCCTTCCTGGACCCCTCAGGTTTGGGTAGGTGCTTCTTCCACATGCACCAGACACTGCTTCTTTACACGGGAAACACAATCTACTGTTACCACACTTGCCTTCTGGTGTTCCTCTTGTCCTCCACTGGACACTGGAGTTGGCCAACGTTCTCGTGTGTGTAGCTGTGTGACCCCGGGCAAGTTCCTGAACTCTGTTGGGCCATCGCCTCCCTCCATGACATCTGCAAAGGGAGGACGAAAGGCTGCTGCTTGAGGATGAGCTGTCTGAGTCAGTGCTCCACTAAGGTACGCTGCATTCAACCACTGCTGTGGGTGTTTCGAGTGCCAGGTAGGGCCAGTTATAAAGGCTGTGAGTTTGGAAAAAGGTTATGTTTACCATCCTTTGTCCACATGCTCTATGAACCTGCCCAGGGGTGTGTGCTCAGTATGCTAGTAGCAATATCACCTCCTCAGCTAGTAATGATGATGAGAATGAAGAGTGTGCTGGGTACTTTAGAGTGTAACACTCTCCTCTACCTTTCAAGGAAACTAACTGTGAAGGGCCCACATCTTTCATCTTGAGGATGAGGGAAGATGACCTGCCTGTCATCAAAGAGCTTTAACTTACAGAGCTTGGATTTGAGCCCCTATCCCCAGGCAGCACAAACTGCTCTCCTCACATAGCACAGGAGTTGCCGTGCTCCCTGGCAGGGTTCAAGAGGGGACAGTGTGGTGAGCTGCTTCCCGAAACACCCCCATTGTTATGTTCCTCTTTATTTATCAGCGTGGCTACGGGACTTGGGGAAAACATGAACACACCATGCTAAGGCTGAGGAGCTGAGGCTCAGTGACAAACTGAGTTGGCCTGGCCTTCAAAGATCTGATTGCTCTGAGCAAGGCTTCCCTCATGCAGAAATGGAGACTGAATGGCCAGCCCTGAATCCTGGACACACGAATTCTGGGTTCTGTGTTAGACCCCACAGCAGTGGTGTGCTGGGGAATGGGGTGATGTGTAGTGTGTGCCAACTCCCATGGTGTAAACGTTCCCACCACTGCTGACTGTAAACTACCAAATTGATGTCACTTGGCATGTGTGTCTACCTTTATGGTCTGAGATGTATCTCAGGCAGCTGCCCCATAACAGAAAACTCTCTTAAGAGATTTCTTGTTTTGAAACATCTATGTTAACTTTTGCACAGTACTTCATTATCAATTTGAGTTTGTGTTAATATAAAAATCATGATTTAAATGATTTACCAGATACGCGTTATCACTGAACTTCCCCCTCCAATTACTCAGGTAAAACGGATTGCTCCAGGAGGTTGTAATGCCTTCATCACGCAGTTCTCACAGCTGTTTGCACGCAGCCACGCACTCCAAATTTGAGAGGCATGATTCTTGTCCACAAAATAATTGTCTCCAAGGAACTCAGCACTGCTGGAGAGGAAAGAACTGCAGTTTGATATTAGATAATTCTGGACTCAAAGCTTGCCTTTGCCAATTACTGGCTGGGGGAAAGCTACACAAAGTCTCAGTTTGCTAATCTATACAACAGGGTGAAGAAAACCTACCTCACCCTCTGCTGATAAGGACATTTACATGCGATGTCTCCAGTCACTAGCACATGGTAATTGCTTGCCTTCCTCTTCCTTTTTAACTCAGTGTACAGTTGACCCTTGGACAACAAGGATTTGAATTGGGCAGGCCCATTTACATGCAGAATTTTTTGATAAAAGTTACACCAAGTGCGCTTGTTTCTCCTGCCTCCCCTTCCACCTCCTCTACCTCTTCTACCACTGCTCCTCCTGAGAGCAAAACCAGCCCCTCCTCTTCTTCCTCCTTCTTAGTCTACTCAATGTGAAGATGTTGAGGACGAAGACCTCTAAGGTGATGATGCACTTCCACTTAATGAATGGTAAATGTATTTTCTCCTCCTTACGATTTTCCTAACATTTTTTTCTCTAGCTCACTTTATTGTGAGAATACAGTATACGACACGTATGACACATAAAATATGTGTTAACCGACTATGTTATTGGTAAGGTACCAGTAAAGTCAACAGTAGGCTGTTAGCACTTAAAGTTTTTTGGGAGGCAAAAATTATATGTGGATTTTAGACTGCACAGAGTTCAGCACCCATAACTCCCACACTGTTCAAGGGCCAACTGTATGCCAAGCATCTAGGAGACCACTAAAAAGGCGCAGGTTAGAGTTCTCATCCAGTGCTTGAAGGAAAGAAAACGATACATCCTCAAAAAAAGGGCAACTTGGCATTGTCTCTGAGATTGAAGATACACATAAGCTTTATCCCAGCAATGTTGTTTCTGGTATGCTGGTATGTGACTTCAGACATCCCTACCCGTGTGCAAAATGAGAGAGGTACAAAGATATCTGCTGTGGCAGTGTTTGTAGAAAAAGGCAGTACAGTTCTTTGGGGAAAGGTGTGTGCCTGGGGCCAGACTGTCCGGGTTCCACTTCTAACGGCCACCTGTTGTCTGTGTGACCTTAGATACTCTACTTATCCTTTCTGGGCTTCAGCTTCTTCATCTGCAAGATGGGCAAATGACAGTAATGACTTCACGAGGTTGTGGTGAAGATTAAATGAGCTAAGGCAAGTAACACTCTTAGAGGAGCACTAGAAAGTAGGGTCCATGTTAAACAAATGTTAGTTATTTTTTTATTACTTTCAAGAGGTCAGAAACAAACTAACTGCCCCTCAGTAGGAAAATGGCAATGTGAACATTACATGAATACCATATAGATTACATGAGATACCATTATATGAGATACCCTGTAGACCTTAAAAAGAACAAGGTAAGTACCACGTTAGTGTTTCCTAAATGATAATGATGTTGCCCCAGGAGACACCTATAATGTCTGGGTACATCTGTGGTTGTCACACCTGGGAGGTGGGAGTGCTTCTGGCATCTAGTGAGTGGAGGTCAGGAACACTGCTCAACATCCTACAGTGCACAGGATGGTCCGCTAAAGCAACGAGTCACCTGGCTCAAAATGTCAACAGCACTGAGACTGAGAAATGGCAAGATAAAGTGTCATAAGAGGGAAAGAAACAGCAGAAACCATTTAGGAAAAAACAAAACACGGGATACAAATACATGAGTTTGAAAAGGCTCTGGAAAAATAAATGAAAAGTTGGTAACAGTGACTTGTCCCTGAATAAAGGAATTGGGTGACATATGTTGGAAAGAAAATGCAAAACTCACTTTTCCCTCTCTATGCTTTGGCATTTTGTGTTATGAACACACAATTATCTCTTCAAGACAACAAACAGAATATAATTTTAAAAGGCTGACTCTCATATACCACATCAGGGCAGGGTTGTAAACCTGGTCTGTTGTCTGAGTCCCAGCTGATAGATGGGAAAGGGCAAAGGATGGCTAGAATCTGCATGGGAACACGCTTCAAAGAGCTACTGGACAATGGCCACGCCTCCCCTCAGGGGCAAACAACCAGTGATTCTCAACCAGGGTGATCTTGCCTCTCAGGAGCACCAGACAACGCTGGGGACATTTTTGCTTGTCACAACCAAGAGGGGGTGGTGTGCCACTGGCATTGCGTGGGCAGAGTCCAAGGTTGCTGCTCTTCATCTTAAAATACATAGGATACCCCCCTCCCGCCTCCCAACAACAAAAAATATCTGGCCCCAAATGTCCATAGTGCTGAGGTTGATAAATCCTGGTCTGGACGGAGACTTTCCAGATCCCTGGGTTATAGGGAAATGCTCCTTAGTCCCTGCCACTTCCTGATCTAGACTTTGGAGTTGTTTTTTTTTTAGTTAGTTTGTTTGTTTTTTACCTCTGAATGTAAAATATTTACTCTGGGCTTTTGTGTTCTAATTGTGAATTTTATTCTCTGGGTGTGGGTCCCTGCAGTTATTATGGTAATAGCAAAACAGTCACCATTTATATGTTACTGCCCTGTGCCAGGCACTATTCTACTTAATGCTCACAATAAGCCCAAGGTTGGTTCTGTAATTACCCATTTTGCAGGTAAACTGAGTGGATTTAAGTAAGCCTTCCGAGTCACACAACCAGAGAGTATGGATCCAGGAGTCAACACCAGGCAGTGGGGCCCCAGAGTCTATGCTCTTAATCCCTCAAGCCACCCTGGTAAGGAAGCAGACATAACCACATGCAGCCTCAGGGCCGAGGCAAGGGTGGGTGCCCCTCAAATGCACACGCATGCAGAAACAGTACAGGTGCTTGGCTACTGGGGGCACCACCACTCAGCTGGGAGATGGTCACATCCTCTGTGACGGGGACAAAGGTTGTCCAGTCCCAAGTTCAGAGATGCAAACCCCTCTGAGATTTACCACTGCACACCTACCTCTGAATGGGGTCAGAGATACACCACCACCAGCACTTCAAACAATAGCTACACAAGTGCTTACTACGTGCTGAGCTCTGTGCAGGCTGTTTCAGCTATGCTATCCCATGTAGTCTTCCCAATAACGTCCATATAGGTGCTACTAATATTCTGTTTTACCCAAGAAAAAAGTCCTGCGCAATCGTTCAGTTTCTCAGTTTTCCAGAATAGTCACTCAGAATTCTCCCTACAAGGACCTTGTTTCCATAGTTACCGTGGGATTAAACATACGTCAGCATGGCACAATCACAGTCACATGCTGCAGCATGCTCACATCCCGCAGTGCCTCTGACACTGGGTGGCACGCAGACACCCACTCAAATAACCGTCATCCCAGACTATGATAAACGGCCACACTAGTCACACACGCGCACGCCCGCATGCGCGCTCCAACCACAGAAAGCTCTGGAGCCACATTCGCACGCCCACCTCCAGTTCACTACAGGTGCTACTGCTTTCTTCCCACAGATGACGCAGTGGCATATTCCTGGTCCTGAGACTCAGCTCCCTTCACCACACAGGCCAACTCTGAGGCACAAACATGCAGGGAGCCACCGGCTCACCCCCCCCTCCACAATCACACTCAGACACACAACCCCACGCGAGCAACAGGTGCGAGAAACGCCACAGAGAGTCACCGGGCAGAGCTGCAGGAACGCACATCCACACAGGGGCACGAGCACACGCGGTCACAGGTGCAAAGCCCCAGGATCGCGGGAAGTACCCCTGGGGAGTCGCAGGTGCAAAGCCCCAGACTGGCAGGAAATACCCCCACAGGGAGTCTCAGTGGCACATGTGCCTGCAGTCACAGGGGCAAAACCCGAGGGTCCCAGGAAATACCCCCACGGGGAATCACAGGCGCAAAACCCCAGAGGCAGAAAATACCCCCGGGAGTGGGGGGAGTCACAAGTGGAAAACCCCAGGGTAGCAAGAAATGCCCCCGGAGTAACAGGTGAAAAACCCCAGAGTGGCAGGAAACACCCCCACGGGAGTCACTGGGGCAAAACCTGAGTGTCAAGAAATACCCCTCGGGGAGTCACAGGTGCAAAACCCCAGAGTAGCAGAAAATACCTCCGGGGGTGGGGGAGTCACAAGTGGAAAAGTCCAGGGTAGGAGGAAATACCCCCAGAGGAGTCACAGGTGCAAAACCCCAGAGTGCAGGAAACACCCCCACGGGAGTCACAGGGGCAAAACCCGAGGGTACCAGGAAGTACCCCTGGGGAGTCGCAGGTGCAAAACCCCAGGGTCGCAGGACGTCCTCCCGGGGAAGGCACAGACGCGGCAGCCCGCCCGAGCCGGGACCCACAGGTCCGCGCCCTCCCGGCGCAGAAGCGCCCGCGGTCGCGGAGCCCCATGGCCGTGGCCCTCACCTCGCTCCTTGCGGTCG